AGATAACAATAAAAAATCATGCAAAAAATCAGTCATAAGTTGAACAACGAAAGAGTCAAAGTCGGGCGTATCTTGGTCTTTGACTGTAATCACGTAAAAGACATGCATTTATAATTTAAGACCAGCGATCAAAACCCAAGATAACAATGGACAACCAGAACTAAACCGTCAAAACGTTTATCTCGAAAAACGCATTACTAAATCGCTTTCTTCTTTCCCGATTCTTTAAATCAGATCAACCTGATATCAGAACAACTTTTTCGCATTTTCGCAGAACACTGATTTGAGGACTCTCTTTCCCCTTGCAACTGATCATTTGTTTCACAGCAGGTGGAGCTTAGGGCAGGAATTTCAAACCATTGAGATGCCATTTAAGCATGTCTCCTAGAGCAGAAAAGCATTTGAGGTGGACTTTTCTAATTTTAGTTTGGTTTGGGCACGGAAAGGAAATTTTCTTATAGGCATTCGAATAGACTAAACGGCATATTAGTCAGCTTTCTTAAACAAGACTCTTAATAGTTCCCTTTTTTGTTCTTTTTAGACGAGACGAAATTAAGCAAAATACTTTGTATTACCGAGGCTTGTTTGTGCTTGTTTTTGTTTACATTAAAACTCCTGACAGCTAGGAGCGAAAACTGATGAGATAGACAGCTCCGTCGTCTTTCACAAAGTAGGGGAGGGGAGGGGAAAGGAAATGCCTGCTACGAAGGACGTCGACATGAACTTCTCAGAAATGCCTTTCAGAGGGATGAAAGTAAACACCACACAACTCTGCCGCTTCATGTCACGATAAAAACAGGATTTAGCTGCCCTGGGATAAGAGTAACTGGATAAATTTGCGGGAGGTTAAACAACCCCTTTGAAGTGAGCGTATCATGAAATCTTTTAAGAGTACAAAATACCGCAATGACGAAAGCATTAAGCCACAGCAATCGAAACCAGCGTTATGGACACCCTCTTAATACTTCTTTATAAAGATCAGCGCTTTTGGCCACCATCAGTTTATTTCAAATTGACCCATCGCTGTGGCCATTATTAACTGCGTCACTGCGGTTCGCCTTTCATCCTATTTATCTAATCCAATGCTTTTTTGTTTTTCATAATTAGGGGAACATTCAAGTTCATCCTATTTTATTTCATTGTAACGTAATGCATTTGAAATGTGTATTAGTTGCATTTATCTTTAGACGATAATCGAGTATATTGGACACTGCAAAATCTCGTCCTCCTCTACATTTATAGTATCCAAAGGAAAACAACAGTTTCTGCCATATACTTTGTGTACGAAAAACGTATTATCGGTAGGTTTTCACAGCAACCCAATTAAAAGATCGACAGCTGAAGAGGAGGCGGCATCCATCAATTGTTCACAAAGTGAATCAGACAGGAATTTCCTGGCCTTGCTGAATCCTTAGAACGGAATTTTTGCGGAACAAAATTTTTAAACACGAAAACGAAGGCAGCCTCCAAAACGAATCTATCAGAAGAGAGACTGCTTCGGCTACAAGTGATTATTACCAAGTGTGTCACACCTCCACTGAAAACATTGAGCACGGTATATTATCGCAGAGAAAAACAAATCATCGAGACAAAAATAACAAAATACGATTAATTATTTCCGCCATGCAGCTAGTAATAGAACAGTGTGGTAGGAGACCGCAAAAGGAAGTGGTTTGAACATGCGAGATAGATCAGTTACTTACCAAATCAACGAGTTGACTGAACGCCATGTCAAAGGTAACGATGACTGGCTTAGAGCCGTTTGGTGCCGGCAGAATTTGCTTTTCCTCTTGGTAGTTCATCATGAGTCGATGGACGAGTCTCACTTTGGCATCCTGTTGTTTTTCCTGAGCTGAAGTAATTTCAAGTGTTAATGAGTTTATTTAAGGATTATCACGGTAGGAAGGAAAACAAAAGAACAAAGAGTACGTGAGGTAATTTTGGAAGAACAAACATTTCATTCGACTGTAAGAACAGCGAGAAGGTAAAATAAGGTTTTCATCAAAACCTAGTAAAGTATTCTCATCCAAATACAGTAGAGCTCATACTAAGCTCATAGTACTTTTCTAAGCTCATAATAAGGTGTGAACACTTCAAGTCTATTGTATTAAATGCGTTATTCTCTTTCAGTTAATCCGTCTTCTCTGAATAGTTTTTCAAACGATGACTATTGGATGTATCAATCAGTTAAAAAACCTAAAAATCTGACGTTTCTTAGACAAAATTGAAATTACACTGTAATGAAGTCTCAAGTTATATTACATATTCACAGCTTAAAATTGTTGTTATTGAGAAAGACAAGAATGCATGCTTCTTGTCTCATATGGCGGGCAGATTTCCCTGCCGTGACCTTGTCTTTTCCCCAAAAATATATATTACCCACACAGTCGGTGCAATTCCAACAACGCACTAAACTCGACAAAAACTATTTAAACATTCTTGACTCCGCAGTTTAAGAGGGAGCACCATTTTGTCCCAATTACAAAGCACCGCAAAGGTGAGCGGCCATTTAACCGCGTAACATTATGCTGACTAAATAACATAGTTCACCATACCTAAGCAAACAGGATTCGACTTTAGTGGAGTTCCGAAGAAAAATACAATGAAGGCGAGGCGGCCGATCATTATGTCAGCAGAGACCGAAATGGACAAATTCACGTTGATTGAAAAACTTTTCTGTGGCTCGCTACTAGACTGGGCCGCTGCCGGGGGGTGCGACCCTAACAAAACAAGACAAAGCTAGAGAAAGCCAAGTTTCTGCTATTTTATCTATCGCGTGATCTTGTAATTGAATAAGAACCTGTAAAATGTTCTAAAGTGCACTTGGAGCCGAGTGGCGAGGCAACGTAATCCAAGACTTTTGCCAACATCTTGGCCGTGGTGATGACATCAGTCGATAATTAACAAGAAATGCTATCCATTATATTATATTT